GGGCAACCTGACAAATATTTGAAAGGGGTTAGTATTCAAGAGGAAATTGTACCTCGAGTCAAAGAAAAACATAGAAGATTTATAGATGACAGAATAATTTGGAGAAAATCTTAAAATGAATTTATGCCATATGCAACCTCAACTTTTATAGTAAAGGGCTCAAATATTTAGACTGAGTTCTTCTCTCAAACTGAAAACATTCATCAATTTGTGGCAATGTGTACTCCACTGGGTTTTTAAACTCCATACTCCTCTCCTTCTCTAGAATAATTTGAATATTTTCAGATCAGGAATTGCCCATCTCTACTGACCTAAAGGTGGAGCAGAACATTTTGAGCTTTAAAGATGTAGACAGACTAAGAAAGGGTCATTCAAACATGTGAAATGATGAGGTAGCAATGTTCTAACATGGCTTAAAGCTCACAAGAGTCCATTTTGAGTAATGCAGGACCTTTAAAACTAATAAGACAGGATATCTAAAATGTGATGACAGTCATGCCCTTTAAGTATTGACGCAAATCTGAAGCCGACAGTGTACCAGTGTTGTAACTCAAACACTCACCCTGGCAGGCCAGTATCTCTGTGTCCAGGGGTTTTCATTCAATTAATCCAAGCAAGGTTCATGATTAGCTGTATTTATTAAATCATACTACAAACAATACTATTTCTACCTGGTTTTAATTAATGTCATTATGGCAATATATAACAGTAATGCAGTTTTCAGATTAACTCGATAGATTAACTCAATACTCAATCTTAATCCTAGAAACTCTACCCAAGTTTTAAGAAGCTGACTGAGGCAGATTAATAGTTATATATAGAAAGAAAAAGCTCTTTCTCTCTCTCCCTCCCTCCTTCTTTCTCTGTATCTCTCTCTCTGTATCTCTCTTTGTTAGAGCTGCAAAACAAAACAAATAAAATTGCAATTCAAATAGGCACATGAAATGAAATGGCAGCAATTAATTAGGTAATAAAATGTTCTCTATAAACAATTAAAAGGTTTTTATGGAACAAAACACTCTCACTTCCTCTCTCTATCTTTGTCATCATCTCTGTCTCTTTTGAGTCACTCTAGTCTGTATCTCTTCCTTTCTTTCCTCTTTTGCCTCGCTCTCCATCCTCCTTTAATACCCCTTACCCTCTCTCTCTCCAGATCACATGACCCTCAGAGCCACAGGAGCAGGGTGTCTCTCTCACACACTGTGGTCTTTCATACAGGAGCAGGAGGTTACAGTGACAGGAGCAGAAAAGATGTATTGTACCAAATGAATGAGTGCTATCCCTCTTCACGCTTTAGCTCACGTACTATTGTTTAGTATTGTTTCCCTTTACAGTAATTAACAGAGAATCACAGTGTTTTTCTGTTCACTAAAGGTCCATGCACACTCAATTGGCATTATAAATTAGACTTACAGTAAACAAAGTACTTTCAACTTCCTATACTGTAATTAAAGGGAAGTATTTGATTTGGGTTTGTAACCATATGTATGTATAGTATAAGTAAACTGTATTTGAGTATAGTGCAGTTAATTTAATATTTATCATTACTGAAAAGCAATAATTACCAGTTATCAAGAATATTGTGAATGTTGTTTTGAATATATGCATTTTTTATACTGGTATGTTGGTATTTTATATCAAAATTCAGCAAAAAGCGCTTTTTTTTTTCTTTTTAAATCGAACAAACTTCCCTTTCAAATTTACCTGATATTTCAACCTCTACCAATACAAAGGACAGTCTATTTCTGTTGTATATTTCACAAAACTTTAGGAGATTACCTTCATACCTTCTGTGTAAAAGTGTAAAGCTGAAGCACGTAGACGTACATTTGTTGGATTGTGAAAGCTGTACTTGTTTCAAATGGACATATAGTGTTTTTGCTGTGACTGCTGTGATGGATGGCTCACAGTTGGAGAGAACTTTATGCAGGTGATCGATACAAGCATTTAGGAAGCAGAGACTGATGGGGACCGCTCAGTCTGAGTGTCTCTGCGGTCACTGGTCAAATGCAGTACTGAGATGAAGCAAATAAAATTCAAGAGGGTAAATGAGAAGGGGAAACAACTGTAACATTGATAAAAGCTCTGAAAAGGCGAGTTTGCATAACAGGTCTGCTTAAGACATTACCAAGCAAATAATGGTTGAATTGTGGTGATGGAGGATTCTAGGTAGAAAAAATATTGAAGAACAAAGTGTATTATTGATTTTTGGCCCTTAGATTTTATTATGCCACTGTCTTTGTTATTTAGCTTTATCATGTGTCAGTATAGTATAGTATTGAACCGTCACCTTATCGTGGTGGAGGGGTTTGAGTGCCCGAATGATCCCGGGAGCTATGTTGTCGGGGGCTTCATGCCCCTGGTAGGGTTACCCAAGGCAAACAGGTCCGGGGGGACAGGTCAGACGAAGAACGGTTCAGAAGTCCCATATTATGAGTCACACACAGAGGCCAGTTACGTTGCCCGGATTGGCGTCACCGGGGCCCCACCCTGGAGCCAGGCCTGGGGTGGGTGCTCGCCAGCGAGTGCCTGGTAGCCGGGCCTTCCCCCATGGGGCCCGGCCGGGCTCAGCCCGAAGGAGCGACGTGGGGCCGTCCTCATGTGGGCCCACCACCCGCAGGAGGATCCATATGGGGCCGGTGCAGAGAGATCTGGGCTGCAGTCGACGGCGGGGGCCTCGGCGACCGGATCTCCGGATTTCGAGACTAGCTCTGGGGACATGGAATGTCACCTCGCTGGGGGGAAAGGAGCCTGAGCTTGTGCGGGAGGTTGAGCGTTACCGACTAGATATAGTCGGCCTCACCTCCACGCACAGTTTGGGCTCTGGAACCCAACTCCTTGAGAGGGGCTGGACTCTCCATTTCTCTGGCGTTGGCCGCGGGGAGCGGCGGCGGGCTGGTGTGGGCCTGCTCATTGCCCCACAGCTCAGCCGCCGTGTGTTGGAGTTCACCCCGGTGAACGAGAGGGTCGTGTCCCTGGGCCTTCGGGTTGGGGACAGGTCTCTCACTGTGGTGTCAGCCTATGGGCCGAACAGCAGTGCAGTGAGTACCCGGCCTTCTTGGAGTCCTTGTTAGGGGTACTAGACAGTGCACCGACCGGGGACTCCGTTGTTCTACTGGGGGACTTTAACGCCCATGTGGGCAATGACAGTGACACTTGGAGAGGGGTGATTGGGAGGAACGGCCTCCCTGATCTGAACCCGAGCGGTGTTCTGTTATTGGACTTCTGTGCTAGTCAGAGTTTGTCCATAACAAACACCATGTTCGAGCACAAGGGTGTCCATAAGTGCACGTGGCACCAGGACACCTTAGGCCAGAGGTCGATGATCGACTTTGTAGTCGTTCATCTGTGTCGGACCGTTGTGGTGAAGAGGGAGCTGAGTCGAAAGGCGAAGGATGAGATCGCGGATACAATCGCTCGAAATGAGTTTCCTCCGCAGGGTGGCTGGGTGCTCCCTTAGAGATAGGGTGAGGAGCTCAGTCACACGGGAGGAGCTCGGAGTAGAGCCGCTGCTCCACCACGTCGAGAGGTGCCAGTTGAGGCGGCTCGGGCATTTGTTCTGGATGCCTCCTGGGCGCCTCCCTTGGGAGGTCTTCCGGGCATGTCCCACCGGGAGGTGGCCCTGGGGAAGACCCAGGACACGCTGGAGGGACTATGTCTCTCGGCTGTCCTGGGAACGCCTCGGGGTCTCCCCAGAGGAGCTGGAGGACGTGTCTGGGGTGAAGGAAGTCTGGGAGTCCCTGCTTAGGCTGCTGCCCCCGCGACCCGGCCCCGGATAAGCGGACGAAAATGGATGGATGGATGTGTCAGTATAGTCCAGATAACAGTTATGATATTATAATTATTAGAGATGCACAGATCCTGCTTATGCACTTCAAGGACTAATATTAATACTTTGCTCTTACGTTGCCTGTATACCTACAGATAATCAAAGCCAAATGATATCAGAGCAGAAAAGCAGCATTTTGTCCCCTAAATCACAAATAATGGTTAACATAAATTATCCAAAAGTATGATTATCCTTCAAATAACAGCAAATCAGTTCTGTACAAATAAAAGTTCAAACATTATGAGACTTTCTGGGTCAACAACAGTACGAAAGTCTTATTGCTAGTGTATGTGCATGCCCATGCCCATGGAAACGTTGGATTGTGTGTAAAAGCAGTGCCCTCTATTGGACACATTGGAGTATTGCAGTGTTTAGAATTAAGTCTGGGCTTCTAGTACAATCCATTGTCAACATTTGTATGCTTTTGAATCCATAAAAAGCCCATTAATGTTAACAATAACAGCAACCACAACATAGGCAATGAAGACATCAGTTCCTTTTCATTTATTATATGGGAGATGTGTGTTTCTATTTTTGACTTGTCACGCGGTTCAGTGGCTCTAAGAGGTAACATTACATATACACTGATGTTTGCCAGAGGTTCAGTTTGCTCTTAATTCTACTGTAACCTTTTAAACCCACTCATAAATATTAAGTAGGCCTTTTGTGAGTGATGTGTTCTCTACCACGGGGATGTTACATGTGTTTTATATATGTTCAACATCTATGTGGAACATTGAGGATGCAGTCAAATAGGAGCACATTATTAATTGAAATGTGCTGCAGGGAAAACAAACAGAGCAGACATACATGACGAAAAATCAATGGGATTGTTCCACTACTGATGATATAATATCCTAAGCCTGCAGTAGACATCAGTAGTGTACATAGACATCCAGTATTCAAGCGTTTACTATTTGCACAGAGAATATGAGAGATACATTAAAGTCAGGTTTAAACTAAGGAAATGATAAATCTAACTGGAATATTAAAGGTCCTATATTAGCTATGTTATAATGTTGTGTTAACTTATGTTATATGTTTGAGTAAACCTTTATTATTAGTCTACTATTATCCAAAGCTCAAAATGCTCTATTCTACCTTGCGATGCCATGAAGTGGTAATTTTCAAGTTAATCAGAGTGAAAAAATGCATAGCACACTCGGTTGGCCGATGTCCAAATACTATTTTATTAACAAAATAACGTTTCGGCAAAAAAAGCCTTCATCAGATATTTTTCTTGTCTTGGACCACAGCACACAAAATGGTTGCCAGCCCAGGTGCCCATATACCCACTCAATGAATGGGAGGTCCCAAAGTGAGGTCACCCAGTGAGTTCAGCCCATTCTACAACAAGAAACAACAATTTACATAAAAAACATTTTATAAAATACAGAAATAGTTTGTCTATTACAAAAAACATCTTAGATCAAACTCCATATTAAGTCCATGAGGAGTAAAAGTTTTAAGATGGTGAATCCAGAAGTGCTCTCTTTTTGACAGGAGCATCTCTAGATTACCACCTCTAGGGGGCAGTTCCACATGTTCGATGCCAATATATCTTAAGGAAGAGATAGGATGGTTAAAATCAACAAAATGAGCCGCCACAGGATAGTTCATGTTTTTGCATCTGATTGTACTCCTATGCTCTGCAATCCGTGTTTTTAAAGCCCTGCTGGTTTTACCCACATAAGCCTTACCACAGGGGCAGGTGATCATATAAATCACGGACTTGGTGTTACAGGATATAATTCCTTTGATCTTTATTTCTTTACCAGTGTGAGGGTGCTTAAAACTATTGCAACGATATGTATAGTTGCACTGACTGCACCCACCACAACGACGATTTCCATCAGGAATAGGAGTCAGTATAGTTTGGTATGTGGTTTGATTAGGAGGAAGGTAGGAGTGCACAAGTCTATCTCCAAGGTTTCTTCCTCTTTTATACACCACAAGGGGGTGCTCTTTAAAAGCCACACCCAATGAAGAGTCAGTTTTTAATATATGCCAATGTTTAGTAATGATGTTTTTAAGTTGTTCCGCGGGTTTTGAGTATCCAGTAGAAAATACAATCCGCTTATTGGCATTTTTTGGAGGGCTGACCCTCAGAAAATCAGATCTAGGTTTTCCTTTTACTTTAGTGGCAGCATCATTTAAAATAGATTTCTTATAACCCCTTTGTTCAAAGTTTGTCATCATATTACTTAAATTTCTTTCAAAGTCATCAGTTTTGTGGCATATTCTTTTAAGCCTACAAAATTGACTGTATGGGAGACTCTTTTTCAATGGAAGTGGATGCTGAGAGTCAGCTCTAAGTAAAGAATTTCGAGCTGTAGGCTTTTTATATAAGTCCGTATACAGCTGATTACCCTCTCTGATGATCCACATGTCCAAAAAACTCAAGCGCTGTTGATCATAATCCATAGTAAAAGATATATATGAGGAGCGCGAGTTCAGATAAGCAAAAAATGACTCAAGTCTCAATTTAGTACCTTTGAACAAGCAAAAAATGTCATCCAAATATCTCTTCCATAGACATATGTTTTCTTTGAATTCATTATCGTGATAGATAAGATTTTCCTCAAACAGACCCATGTATAAGTTACAGAAGGATGGTGAAAAAGGGCTGCCCATAGGTACTCCGTGTTTTTGAATGTAAAAAGTGTCCTGAAAAACCCAATAGTTGTTTTTCAATATAAGCCACGACATATCCAGAATAGAATTCAAGTTAATAGCTACATTTTACCTTAAATTCTTAAAAGAAATTGACCATTCCAGGGCTGAAAGCATCCTAATGATTCTAGTGGAGGTATATGGGGTTTAAGAACACAGTAGCAACATGACCCAATGACAGACTAGATGATGCATAGTTAAGACAATGCAAGTGCGGAGTACAGTTCCTGGTTTCAAATTTTAAGTGTTGAAATACAGTGGTTTCAGTTCTCGAAAAGGAGATATTCTCACCCTGAATTATTATTGCAAGTTTCAAGAGACACTAAATACCACTGAGACCCAAAAACCCTAAACACTACACACAGGAAGCTATTCAGTGAGAAATGTACTGGCCGGACCAGTGGTGTAAACAGAGGAGAGGACTCACCAGAGAGTCAGGCGGTGACTCATTCAAATGACGTCAAAGCACAGCACACTTTCATTGCAATAAGTTGCTTTCATTGGTCTGGGAGAAACGTGTCCGGAGAAAATACAATTCATATATGTAGGACTAAATATAAAGGCTAAAATATCAAAGGTTTTCATTCAGTTTGTTAGCTACAGAAATGTTGAGAGGAAGTGTCCCTGTTCATTGACTCACTGTTGATCTGGTGCCAGCTGAGTACCGGTAACCTCAATTTGGGGATGAAAGAGCAGCTCTGGTTTTACATAAATCAGACATTAATAATCCATGGTCAGTTTGGAAAGCATGGAGAGACTGGGTTAGGGGAAATCAATTAAATTAGATACAGAATGCTTTATTTATAGTATTTAACATTAAACTAAACATGTACAGAGTTACATTAGTACGTAAAACAGAATATTGATTTAAAACAACTTGCCTCTTCAAAAAGTAGATTTTAATTGACTGTGTCTTTATTTTGGCAAAATTACTATGCAACATTTTTGAACAATACAACAACTCTCAGAGTAAACTAATAATGGGAGAACACTATTGCAATATAGATTTGAAGCATTCACTGGTGTGAGAAGTTAATGAGAGTGGATGGTTGTTTGTCAGTGTGCAATTGTGTTGGAGCTAGACAATTTTGAAATAAAGTTAAATTACTTTTGTGATCAAGACTGAGTCACTGTGTAGACTGAAGACAGAATATAATGTTTTGTTTGCAGAGGCCTGTATTGTATTATGTAAAAGTTAACTTATCTCAAATATATCAATGTTGTTGTTGTTGTTTTCTCTTGAATTAGTGAAATAAATTAACACATCTCCTTTTAAATGCCTGATGCACGAAGTAAGAGCTCTTGTTATGGATGATTAAATGTTACACAATGTATCCTCACAGAGACCTACTCAAGAGATTGGTAAAATCCAATTAAAATCTGCCTCTGGGCTAAACTTCTTAGAGCAGTAGCCAAGACCTCCATTCCCAGAATCCATCTCTCAGGCTCCTTTGTTTGTTTGCCAAAGGGAGAACTTCATAAATTAACTAACACAGTGCGGTTGCCTTATACTGCCTTAAGAAAGACAATAACGACAAATAGACCCTTAAAGGAGGAAGACAACAAAGATAGATGTAGTCTGAAATGGACACGTTATGCACAGGTCATCGGATAGTCAAACAGAGGGTCCCAATACTGATAATAAAGGGCCTATATTATGCTATTTAGGCTCATTATAATGTTGTTTCCTCATCAGAAACATACCTGGAGTTGTGTTTGGTTCCATTTTTCTCTCAGACAGAAAACACTCCATCATGTGACATCATGAGGTAATACAGGAATTGCTCCACTGTGTTTTTAAACTCCATGCTCCTTCACTAGAAACATTCAAATTATTTCAGCCGTGGAATTGCCAATCACTACTGAACAAAACGCAAAAGATAGCTGTTAACTTAAAAACTGCCTCTTCGTGGCATCAGATGGTGGAACAGACCATTTTGGGCTTTTGGAGTTTAACAGTAAAGGGTTACTCAAAGATGTGTCAATGAAACAAAACACAACTCTTAAAGCTCACAAGAGTCAGTTTCACATAATATAGGACCTTTAATAGTAAACAGAAAGTATAGAAAGACTGCATGTATTATACAACTGCATAAAATAGACTGATTTAGCATTTAGCACTTTAAGTAAATGGGAAAAGGCTTGCTTCTTAGTAGAACATGAAAAAAAGCAATATTTCAGAATACTGGAAATATCATTATGTGCTAAAGATCTACAGTAGCTCTCGATCTTGTATTGACCTTATATTGAACATTTCAGTGATATCCCAGGCTTTTGTCTCTGTGTGGCAATGTGCCATTCATTGTCCTATAGTGCTTGTATCTGCTATATACGTAGTTGTAACCTATGACACCTGTGGATCATTGTAGTATAATTTGCACATTTAAATTGCAATATTCATCTAACTGAAATTGACAGAATAAAATTTTTCTTTTGTTAAGAATCCTAGACCTAGACAATTGAGGGATTAATCTAAAATAATTACCGGTAATTAAAAGCAAAGACAGCTGACTTCTGTGTTAGAAAACGGTGGTTCCAAGTGGGAGCTAACATCACCATAAACATCATCACAACAAAAAGAGGTGAAGTTGTCGGCACTTCCGATGGACCGTTGTGCATCAAGCTAGCGAGCCACAGATGATTTTTCATTTGTACCAAAATGACTATGCATTGCTGCCAAATCCAAACCGTATCACAAAATAAGAAAATAAAGTTGGAAAAGAAAGGAAGGTCAAACTTTAAGAGGGTGACTGAGAAGGGAAACAACTATAACATGGTTCACATTTTGCATATGTCTGTATGTCTGCTTTAAATAATTACAACAAAATGCGATTTGAGGTGTCCAAGATGAAACTACTGAAAGATTAAATTTTACTGCTCTTTTTTACAATGTCTTTTGTTACATGCTACAGCCATTTCATAAAAATAAAATTATTTTCTACTGCTAGACAAGCAGCACAAAATCTTACATAGTACACAGTAGTTAATTTATGCAGCCTAAACCCAAAATGTACAGTGAATTTGAAGTAATTGTTAGGGTCAGATTGTAATGGTACTTGGAGCTGTGAGAGTTCTTCACTGTGATGTAAACAGAGTACACCGCAAAATATGTTGTGGTTTCACACTCTAAAAAAGGCAGCGACTTAGGATCGCTTCTGCTCTGTTTGTTTTGAAAGTGCAGAGTCAATGTGATGTGAATTTGTGCAGTGTACAAAATAGAGTCTGAAGGAACATTGAGAGAAAGTTGGCACTAACACATGCAAAGTAAACAACTGAGATACGATCTGACAGAGCATGTACAGTACAGAGGTCCTGTAACTGTGAAATCAGTGTGCAGGCGGCAAAGGATTACCTCAATAACACATAATTACTTACAAATACAATATATAGACCAATTTTCTAAAACATATATAGAAATGTAGTGCTAACATTACAGACTATTACTTATTTAAATGTCCACACTCTACATATGGGTATAATCATGCTAAACATTCAACATGATTTAAAGGTGAAGATTTGAAGTCTACAGTTTGATCGATCTTGTTTATACAATGTATAAAAGTAGTTAAAAGTGCTTTGTATTTTTTCTTGTGGAGGGTATGATGTAGCTTGTGTCCAGAATGTTGCACAATATGGCATTAAACTCTGACTCAGTGAAGACGTGCACTGCAGCCAACACACAAAATTACAAGTCTCTTACCAGAAAAGTTATATACACCTTTAATTAAAGATTTCTCTCGATTTCATGCCATGTTTGTGTAATTAAAGGAGTCAATATGGAGGCAGATGTGCTCAAAAAGTTTATAATTAAGACAAAAGGTGATGTTGAGGTTACTTTCACTTTCTGCTGCCTACCTCTGAGGGCCAATTACCACTAGCCAGTGATTAAAAATAAATAGGCTACTAGAGAAATATGACTTCTCACATTACTAGTTGGCCAAAAATAAGTGGGTTACGGTGCCTACTGTGTGTTTCAGTAAGAGCACTATGGGGGTGTGGCCTAACCGCGTGGTGAGCACAACTTGTACACGCGGTCTGGAAGGAACCAATGCGCAAAAACAAAGATAAGACACATGAAAATAAGACAACTTGTGCGTCATGCTTGTACTCACTGTGTAGACGAAGTACCAGATTAGTCTTCACGTAGGCAACAAGCAGGAACTGGCTTTTGCTTCAACTGTAAATAAAATTAGCATACTTTAAACAACAATTTGCAGTTTGTTCTAGCGTCAGGCCTTTATAAAACCATCAGGCCCATGCACCTCGTCGTTTAATAGGAAAATGGCGCTTTAAATATGCTATAAAATGCCTCTAATTGAACTATAGAATTGAATTTGAAAACACGAGTAACCAATTTACCACTTCAACAAAAGCACTATGCACTTGATCACACACTCATTTAAGTGGCAATTTACCAGAAACAGTATAATATCTATTCATGCAGAGCTCAGTTACCTTGCAGTGGAGAGTCGTGCAGCGAGCGAGTGAATAGTGATAAGGTGCGATGCTTTACTGCCTGGAAAATGAAATCATATGAAATAAAAAAAAAATTAAAAAATAAAAAAAAAGATGGGGAAACATGGATGGGTTACAGATTATTGTAATAGGTGACATTCAGAAGATACAATATTTTGTTTTAAATGATTAATTGCTATGGCAACCGTCCTAATTTTTAATATTTCCGAAACCCATAATAAGAAATAATGGACCACGAACAAACAGCATAATGTTGAAAAAATATAAAAATAGATTGCTGACACTCATTAGTAAAATTGAAGCATTTTATTGCAATTGTGCGGAGACAGCTCAGTATTTTCATTGTATACATTAACCAAGAACAAGTCGAGGTGATGTGCGTCTTCCAGTTTAACCATGTACGTAATGTTTAACAAAAAGATGCTCTCTCAACAGAAGCTCTATCTACACCACCCTATAGTGCAATATGAATGGGCCATTATGTAGCATTGCATTGTCCCTGTGAGGAGAGTTGTGCGTTATGTTTTTTGGTTAAAAAGTAAAACCAGCTAGTAGGAGTGGACAATATAATACAAAACAATTTCCTTAGAGCTAGTAGGCCAAGGATTTCATTACCAGGTACAGTAAAAAGTTAACCAAAGCCAACTGCTTCTTTTGAGTTAACACTTCACTGTGACTGGTTAAAGCCACTTGTCACTCACTCTGAAGATGATACAGGATGACCAACAGGAAAAACATAAAGCTGCTTTAAAACATAAAAGCACTGAATCAAGACATAAAAATCTTCACGGACAATATAGTTAAATCGCCCACCCTTACCAGCAACAATAAAAAAGTCCTTATAGGTAGCTTCAAGTGTTGAGGCTAAAATACAAAATCCTATGAGTCCATAAACGGCTCTTATCGGATTTGCGACATGTCGTCCAGGTGAGGGGTCTTCCTACAGCCCGTGCACAGCTGGTCCATCCACAAGGGAGCTTCATGCTGGAGAGGAGTGCGACGTGGGTAAAATGTGTAGGAGAGGTCATAGTTCAATAGGCAGCTAAGAGACGCCATGTACAAGTCTGAGAAACGACACAGCCTCCTGGAGAAGTACGTCGGGTTGTGACATGTCCTGAAGATGCTGCCAAAGTGAGGGTTGAATAAGTTCTTGGACATTATCCTGAAATGTAAAAAGAAAAACATAACATAACATACATTAGAAGTGGATAGAGTAGCTAAAAATGTTTCTCAAATAAAAGTAGGCCTACTGTTACATCTAAATAAGATTGAGTAAGAAAAAAAGGGAACTACTACAAAGTTGGAGTAACTAAAAGAAGTATTTGAAGTTAATGGTAATGGAGTTGGTAGAACAAAACTATAAATATTGCACTAAATCTGGCATTTTCAAAGGATGGATCAAAAATATGACAAAAACTGGTGCAAGAAACTAATTATTTAACAATGTCAAAATAAACCATTTGTCACTTGTCGAATTACTTGCAGTGGGAAGACTAGCATACCTGAGTTCTTCTCTCTCCTTCCGCCACTCCTCCATAACCTCTCTGGACACTGAGTCACGATGTGTCTGTAAGAAACAATACAAAAAGAGATCAATAACTCCTCTCACGTTTGTTTTTTACCATCTGTTGCTACATCTGTTGCGCTACAGTTTGAAGAGTAACAACTTTATTAAAATGCTATAGCTGGTACAAATGAATCAGATTTTTTTTTCTGCTAAATGACTTTGCACTTTTCCATTGTAAAGAAACAACTTTGCAAACAGTAACTAATCTTACTGTGAGGCCTCATTTGTTTGTATTAAGGCTTTTTAATAATAATTTTCTCATATGAATATTTTTATGCCTGACAGCACACAGATTAGACTACTGTATACGCCTGTGTGGTGGTATGAATGATAAAACGTGCATGTGCCTCAACAAAGAAAGAGAAATTGTTTTGGTCTCACATGTCAGGATCTCTTACCTGCATTTGCTCCAGCAGGCCTGTCAGAGCCTGCATCCAAGTGAGGCTGGTCGAATATCGGGCCGTGCTCACGATCTTCGTCTCATGCTCCAGCTCTGGGACAATAGCTCCTGTGCGCCATCCGTGTCGAAGCGTCAAGTCCTGGGTGATCAACAAAACAAATTGCACAATGTTAAGAAAAAGAAATACAAAATGTTTTTGTAATACGATATATTAACTCTACTGCTAAGTAAGATAATGTAATTTTCAGTGAGTAAACAGACTATTAAAATGTAGTCTAGACTCCAAAATTCCAAAAATAAAATTTACTTTTTGTAGCAAGATAATTTTGATTCCCAAAGAATGATTTGAAAGGTGGTCACTATAATGTATACTGCGATTTCTAAAACTATTGATAAAAGCTATTGCAGGGAGAAAATAGCATTTTCACAAAAACCTTGAACATGACATTTATATGGTTAATGTTGAATAGTCTCTGATCAAATAAATATCACTCTAAATGTTGCTTAATGTAAGCTTCCTGTGTTTCCCTTTTCACAAGTTGAAACACTCACAGCCAAATCGCTGTAAAGATGGTCTCCAAAGTACAAGACTTTGGATCCTCTCCAACCGGTCAGTCTGAGAAAGTCAAACAAATTCCCCTGAAACAGAGGACAAGAAAAATAAGCTCAGTGTGAAAACAAGAGCAGCTTTTTTTCATTCCTTTTGCAGAAATGAAGTGTTTAGCCCCAAAGTGAACGGACCTGTTTGTAGATCTGTCCCTTTTCCAAAGTCTTGATCTTATCCCATCGCAGGGCACCATCACAGTCCAGGCGTCGGAAAGGTCTATGAGTGGAGTAAAGGTCATGAAGGTTAGAATGGTCATGAATGTCAAATGTACTAACCTGATAAAAATGTCAGAATTATTCAATTACTTAAATTAGGACAGGTCAAGAATCTATTAAATTGAATTTGAAGTTCAAATCTATTTGCTAGGAAGAAAGACTTTTGTGCATTGGAAATTGCATTGAAAATGAAAGAAAGTCAGCTCACTGCAGTCACGAGGACCAAAATTTAGAGCTGAGCTATGTGGCGCTGACTGCTTTGAAATCAGTGATGTTAAATTAAATGTTGAGGCTGCATGTTTAATGCAATAGTTTGTTTTATTTCATTCATAAAAAGATTTCCCTCAGAGGCCAATGGGTTAAACATGAAAAAAAAAAAAAATCTATCAAATCAAATTTTTTGAGAATTTTTTTTTTTTTTACAAAATTGCTGAGGCCTAAATTAAATATACTGATTATTATAGAGGTCACAAACTCAAACATTTTACGAACAACAATTTATAAGTAAATACCACATTTGATAACAGTCATTTGATAAGACTTTTTTCTTAGGAGTAAGCTTGAACAAAACCCAGATCTAGACCTGGAACTAAACAAGGACCAAAACAAGTTTACATCAGGATTTAACTGTGCTAAAACCAAGATCTAACCAGGACAAGTATGAACAAACCTTAAGACTCTTGCTCACTTACTTGATACAATCAGTAAAGAAGTGCGGCTTGTCGGCTTGTACAATAACAACATCGAAGAAGTCTCTCCAGTCTTTTCCAACCATGTGTGTCATCCCTTTGTCCCTGCAGGAACAAAAGGTCAAAACCAACATGAAAAAACAGGAAAAAACACAGGTGGGTAGTAATGAGGTATCTTTATAAAAATCATTTACTTGAAACCATTTTATATCCAACAGTGTTTTTGTACACATTTTATTTGTACTTTAGTGAGATATAGTTGTGTTTAGGTGAACTGACAGTTAAAAACTAAAGTGAATTAAATCATAAGGTAAAAACATCTTTTCTCCAAATAGTCTATATTTTTAACCTTACTCTAACTTCATAACTTCAGTAAAATCCTTGGTTACAGTACCCAGCTCTTGTATGACATTATAAATAGTCCCCGGTGAGGGCTGAAGATAAAAGATAAACTCACACAAATGCGAATGGACTGTTGGTGATAAGGAATAGTTTTTTTCCATGGTCAACAAGTTTGTGCAAAACAGCATCGGTCTCCTCTCCTCTGAGTATGTATTTATCTGAGAAAACAAAAAGTCAATTAGGTAATTGTTTAGAAATGGCTGTAATTCAGGAGTAAGGAATTACTTATTCTTTGGATAATCCTGTTAACAATATTCAGATGACAATTTTGCAATATATGACTATGCTAAAACATGCCTGTATAAGTCATAGTGCAGGTTTCAAGTAAGCACAAAAAATAAATAAAAATAAATATTACCCAGTATACACTGCAAGTTCCTGATTGCCTTTTATTTGTATCGAATATTTTTGTAGCTTTTAGACATTTTTTTTATATAATCAAATGTTCTAAATATTTTGTATCATAAATGCTCTAAATATTTAGTATCAGTCACTTAAATAAAGCAATGGAAAAGGGTTGCAAGAATAAAAGTAAATAATAAATTTAGACATTTTCAATTAAATATCCAAAATAATTAAGGATCATGCAGAAGGGGTTGTATAGTTGGATTGCCATCTTGTAGCAGTATGTAAAAAATGTATATAATACTAATACTAATACTAAAACTAATACTAATAATACTAATAATACTAATAATAATAATGCATTTGATTTATATGGCCTCACATAACTGAGTGTCTCTTGCCCTTACCAAGATCCTGCATGATCCATTTGTACATGTATCCTTTTAGGTGAACCATGCCCACTGCTTCCTGAAAAAGGAAACAGGATTTTAGCAATGGAAAGACATGCCTTTCCCACTAAGTTATATAAAAATGGGAACACGTTGCACATGGATGAAATTGGACTCCTTCGCATAACAGACCATAAGCAAGCACTGTTGTAAGCTTCCCATGAAATCTCAATGCAAACTTTATACAAACTCAGAGCTCAAATGGCCTTCAGTTGAAATAATATACACCAAAAATATGGGGGAAAAAAATGTTCTCACCGACACATCTTTGAAGAGGTGAACTGGGTCGTAGTCAATGTCGTTTGTGATGAAGAAATCATTTGCGACCGCCAGGAGAGTCATTTCCGGGATTGAGAAAATGTCCATAAACTGCTTCACTTTAGGTCCCTGTGTTACAAAAAAATATCAGATTGAAAGACTGTAATCTGACCTTGAAAAATAAACATGTATTATATCAAATGTCTTGCTGAAATGCCACAATCAAAACAATGTTCCAAACTTAGATGAGAACATTTAGTACAAAACTAGCTGGGGTGGGGCAGATTCAAGTAGGATTAGAAAATGAAAGTGTCCATTCTTAATGCGAGAGCTCAACACATGCTTGAGAGAAGCTTTTCTGCATAAACTCTGCTCCTGCGGATCCAACTCTCCTAATTAGGCAACAGAACATTAGGGTCAAGGTGCATGGGGGGTTTGGAATTTTCTGCCTCAAGACTGGAATACTGTTTCACTTGCAACCATCTTAAGTTTGTGTCACGTTACAAGAGAATCTGTTTACATAGCATTTAGTAATTTCTCAAAGTTACTAGTATATCCATTTTTGTCATGCTGAATATTTAATTGGTCCAAATGTGTTTTAAATGAGAATTTAATTCACAGTAGCTAAAAAAACTTGTATAGACAGACATTTACCCAATATTTAGAAAATGGTATAAAGGAATTTCTTTTTCACTATTTTTTCTCTAAACATAATGAAAATACTGGCTGTGCCCCTAAACAAAATAAAATCGATTGCTTCAATAGAGAAAATTCAATTGGTCGTAACGACTCATGTATGTCTATGTTAAGCCTTGTTAATAATAAATATGTTGTCAAAATGTAACATTACAACAATTCCAGTATCATAGCCTGACCATTTAAACAGATGCCCTAGAGCACACTTAATCCATAACTACACCTCTGTCTAAAAACAACTGCAAGAAGGGATTATGACAATATGATTACAACCACAAGAACATGATACTGCTCTGGAATTAACAAAAATACTAGGCCATTAAAAAAAAACACTGAGATTTTCTCCGAGAGCACATTCTAAAACATGTACAGGTTCATTACACATTAGAAATTTAAAATACAGGGTGAGCAGGTTTTATGCACAAGGCGAGTTAGGAACAAGATATATTTCTGCGTGAGATATGCCAAAGTGTTATGATTAGAACTATTTTAATTGCAACCATGAATGAAGAAAATTGGACTGAAAGGAAGGCCTGTCACAGTAACACATTTTGAAGTGATATATTGCTTAAGAAAATGTAGACATTAAGATCAAAAATAATTTATGCCATTGACAAAATATTGTTAAAGAAGGAATATTGTAAAATGTACAATATTTTTAAAACGTTGTTGCAATAAATACATAGCTGCATGAAACACTTTACGAGCTATGTTTGTAGCTATAGAATCACAGACATTATTTATTCAAATTTTTTCTACTGAAATCTTATTATAGTATAAAAATATAACACAAATGTCTCTATTAGAACAACTGACCTGCAAGAATAATTGTTCCATCAATCATATACTGAACAATAAGTTGACACAGTGATTATTGTGACAGACTACTGGAAGGTTAAGCAAAGTTCTCTTTACCTTTCCATAGAATCCACTGTCCTGCTCCAGAGGTATGTGAAATGTTCCACCATAAAGCTCTTGCACCTCCTCGTCCGGAACTGGGCTCAATCCTCTGATGAGAAAAATAAAATGAAATTCATATTTGCATAAAATAGGACATTAATTTAAAAAAAGGGAAAAAAAAGAAAAGACAATCTATGGGAATCAGATGAATTATACTACTATTGTATTTTAAGGATTGCCCATTACCTGTACACTGTCCCAGGTTGGATGTAATGAAATGCATCAATTTTCATCAGAAGCCCCTAAGACAGTTAAAATTATAGCATTAAGAAATAAAGAAAAAGTAAAGGCCAGTGGGTTTGATACCAAATACTAATTAAAGTGGTAACAAAACTAGATACTCATTTGAGTACTGATACAGAAAATAATAAATAAAATCATATAAAAAGGACCTCTCATGGGCCTTCCCTGAATAGCTTTAGAGATGTCTGGAGCTATACCTGAACTAGTATGTTGTATAGTAAGACCATACAGTAATAATAGTTAGTAAGTACTAATAAGAGACTACATTTATTTTGTGTTGGAAAGAATATCCTATTGGCCAAGAAATGTGGTTTTATTATCGTTGGGGAACCAAAAATTTGGTATTGAGTATCAACACTCTTCCTTAGTATTAAAATATTGCTTGGAATTTTACTACAGTGCAGTTTTATGAATGAAGTGAAAATGTACCTTTTGTATGTCATAGTGAAGACCTCTGGCAGCAAAGTTAGGAATGTAGTCGTATTTGCGGATGCCTTGAGGATACTGTTAAAGTTACCACAAGAAACCTGTTATTTAATCAGATACGGTTAGAGTTTTCTACTTGTTAAGAAGAAAAAAAGGTACCTTGAAGTGATCAATGAGAAACCCTCTAGCAGCGTTGTAGATCATGGTGTGAAGTGCGTTCGAATACAGGGCTAAAGTGTAGTCATAATCAAAGCCGTAGATATCCACCTCTGCCAGGCTAACTTCATTGTTTGAGTAAATTGCAGAGTGGTTGAGAATGCCGCATGCGCCCGGTGGAATAAGATCTGTAAAATAAGAAATGTACAGTCATGGTTGGATTTGGGAAAACTGTGTGTCCTCATATGAGTCAAGTTTGTTTATGTTTCACTGTGAACAGAGGTTATTTTGAAACCTGATGATTATGAGGACATGGCAGGAAACAGATGAGAGTACACTACTGCTGTTTTCAATCGTGTGGATTTGGCAGGCACAAGAGAAGTAGCACAAGCCAATATGAAAACAATCACTTCTTCACTGTATCGAATCTCTCCAAAAAGAACAGTTTGTCCTCAAAGCAGAGACTGAAAAGAACTGAATCGTAGACAACATTATGCATTAAACTAATTACTGTGTTCCCAGTGAGACTTTAAAGTCCAGGGAGTACAGTGATCGCATCAGCCAAACTTGAACACAATAAGTGCTTAGAAAGTGTGTGCATAGAAATGTCCAGGCTGTCAAACAGGGGCACAAAAAATAGGCCACAGAAACCACAGTTCAGTGAGAGGGCATGAACCTTGATGTGATGTGTGCAAACAAAGTAATGCATGTTTCACTTTTACAGCTACAAATTTACATGTTATTCACTGAGCCCAGAAAATGTAAAAAAAAAAAAAAAAAAAAAGTAAAGTAAAATCCAGAAATATATGTTTAACAGGTATACTATTGTATTATAAAGTAAATGCAATTTTAAACGGTCAATTTATGTTTGTTTCTCATTTTCCTGTTTTGCAATTTTTGACAGAGGAATGTACAATTTGTACCATAGCATAGCGGGCAGGCTTTGTTTTGTTCCTGCAAACGCACCCCCCCCCCCTCTCGTATGTGCCCGAAATGCACGTAGCCACTTGTGTGCCATGAGGTGGTGCTCTCCAAGCCGGGAAGGAATTGTTGTTTTGCACGTTGCATTTCAAGGGGAACCTTTACATTTTAAAGACAAAAAGCAACAGCTGTGGCTGTGTACCAACAGTTAAGCTTTAGCGTTAGCCACTTAACACGACAAATCCTAAAAGGACAAAATGTCCCCGGAGATATGCGAGGGAAAGGCGGTCAAGAGCAGTGACAGACCACGGGCTTCATGGATGACAGGTACGGGACAAAGAGGGCGAGGCTTACCGTGTACCAGCCGCTTCATGTCGTGGTACCGAGCCCACAAATAGCTCCTTTGGTCCGAGGGCGCCGCGTTGGTGAAATATGAGCGTCCTCTCACACCACTGACACCCGGGGCACCCACGGGCTCGTCGGACTTCTTGTTGCCTCCGACCGGGGCTCTGTGCGGAGGTTCGGTGGATGGACACATGCTCGGGTCACAACTTTGCTCCTTTGATTTTCCACAGCCCTGCTTTTCTTTAGCGGAGCCGCAGCAGGTGCTGGAAAGTCTGTTCTCGCGGGGTGACCTCACCACTGGAGACCCCCTCTTTCCTCGTGTCCATAAGGACCGAGATAAAGCAGAGCCAACTGTTTTCAGGGTCATTTTTACCACGTACCTAAAACCCAACTTGTGTAGCACAGACGCGCTGGCAAACAACAACATCCCTGCCCTGGGCGGCCCCTCCTTTAAAGGGGCGGGTTCCTCGTCTCTGCAGCCAATCAGAGCGAGTCTCTGCAGGCGCGGGTTAGGCTAGGACAAAGCGGGGACTCCCACCAAAACTAGAACAAATGACACGGTCTTACGCAATCTTACTGGTCTGGGTGCACTGGATGCACTTTTTACACTGCGATGCATATTTAACCTTTGACACATTTAGCATTGTGCAGTTTGTATCAAGACCTTAAGCATACCAAACCAAAACAGTTCACTAAGTTTTAGTAGTATGTCATAGTTATTAGACATCACACTATACTTTTTTGACCAAGGCAACTGCAACTGTCAACTGATGTTTACGGTAATTACACTTTTAAGAAGCAAACTGAGGATTTAGGCTTGATCCTCAGCTAGCTCAACTAGCAACAACTAGCTCAAGAAGTCAAGAGAAAGACACAATAATCACATTGTTTTTGTTTAATTCTTGACAAATGACAAAGATTGAAGAATGACTCACAGCTCAATGCATGGACATTGCATACAAGTAAAAAGTTGAGAAACATCAAATCCGTTGAAGAACAGTTTACTCTTATTGCAGAAAACATAAATAGTTAAAATATGTAACAGTTGTGATAAATTAAACAAAGGTTTGCACAAGGAAAATAAATAGGTCTATAAATGCATTTACAGCCTTCAGTGTAATAAGACATCATAACATTTTCACTTTTTAGCACAAATTCCTTGATAAATATCTTCATATTATATTTTGTACATCCAGTGCTTGTGCATAATTTTAACATCACCTGGCCCTGTTACAGTAATAGATATACCATTTTATGTAACAAGGTTTATGCAAGAGAAGAAAGCTAAAAGGTGAAAATATTTATTTCCCAAAATGCAATATTTAGGCGTTAAACCCTTCTTCAAAATTGTTCTTTAAGCAATGATAAAAGTACAGTGTGGTAAGCCCCTACATTTGTAAAGGGTAAAAACAAATGAAATACAAAACAAGGCACTACAACAGAAATCAGCAGGGTGGACTTTTTCTACAGGACTCGTCAATAAAAAACAAGTTGAACAAGTTAAAATCTAAAGATGACCTACTGTTACTAAAGAGCCATTGTGCAAAGATGATCCAGTGATCATGATCAGTCTCCAAGGGCAACAGGATTTAAAGGTGCACTTTGGAACATTCCAAGCAAAGTAATAACATCATCATCTAGACATGCCAATCACACAGTATGGCATTAAACCTAGGTCTGTCACCGATAACAAATTTTGAAGCACAATATATTATGTAGCAATTAATGATAATAATGAAACTACTAGTATTTTATGACACTGACACAGTACCAATGAAGTAGCATAATCCCAGTAAAGATTTTTTAAAATAGCCAATATAATTAAAAGCCATTAGCTGCGATAAATAAAACAGCAGAATGAAGCCATAATTAGCCATAAAAGTTAATTATTCAACCCTATGGTATTACAACTAAAATAACAAAATTCCCCATTATTGCAAATAAAATGTACCCACAAAAAATACTGAGCATGAAAATATACTGTTCCACCTACCATATATTGAATGATAAATTGATATAGTATAGACTTAATTCAACTGTTTTGAGGGACAAAACCACTTGAAATTTTGTTAATGCAAAATAAATGTAAATAAATAATGCCATACTGTGATACATTCTAGGCAAAGCAATGTCATCTTCATGAAGACAAGTATGTAGTGTACCCTCCACGAGAAAAGTTACATAGTGCAGCTTTAAATAAAACAGTGCCAGAGAATTAGTGAATATTAACAAATTTATGATGTCAAACAGGGCTGAATATTTCTACTTTAAATAAACTATGCATTTCCATTTTGAACACATTTTTGAACTGTCAAAAAGCATTTTTTGCAAGTGAGGCTTAATATGGTAGCACATCGAACAGCAAAAAATAAATTTAATATGGATAACTGCAGATGATAGCCATTGGGAATGACCATGTAACATACATGAACAAATCTGTACGTAGAATAAAAAGTTGTAGCCACAAACAATATCAAGACAAGTGGTCCTTTAAAGGAGGCACTGCACTTAATTAGGATCTGCATAGTTTTCAAAGTAGGATGAAATAGATTTTATCCATTTGTATTTTGACCTGAGGTGATGTTTGGATGACCAATCTTTATCAGTCAATTCAATAGTACTTTTTGGACTGGAGTTAAAGGGTTATTTAGGCTAACAGACTAGTTCAAGCAATCTAACATTGTAAGCATTGCTATATGCTTATATAGAAAACAACCATAAGGTTGCATTGCACTATAGAACTACTCCTGCCAGGTTAATATTAGGAATCTATTGACTACTAATAGGCTTGAAAATTTGCCACACAGGCATGACAGGTTTAAAGGCAAAAGGTTTAAACGTGAATCCTTGAAGACGCTGTCCCATAAGAAGGCACAGCTAGGCCTGTCACGATGATTACTGCATCAACTGATGCTAAATACATGAAAGAATGATGAATATTTTTGAAACTCAATATTTATTGTTGCTTTTCTTTTCTTTGATTTCTTTTGGAAACTGTTTTGCATTTATTTTGTTGTATGATAATATTTAAGAGTTTAATAAGGAACTTCTATGATTCATCATCAACACTAACAACTAAAGTGTTTCATTGCATTAATTTATTATTAAAATATATATTTGCAATAGCTTTATTAGGTTTAGAATGCTTTAAGATTTGCTGTCAGTGGTATAAAGTAGTAGAGTACATCCCACTACAAAATTGGTTATCGTGACAGGCCTAGGCACAGCGCATACTGCACTTCAGGGGAGTAAATACTGTTACTGGTTTAACACAACACACTTCTTCATGAAACAAGATGTAAGCTGGAACTACTTCAGACAAGACAAAATCAGTGACTTCACAAAAGCAATGAGCAGCATGTCTGTCTCTTCATCCGACTCCGGGCTGCATGCAGGTTTCCCATGTTATACACGGGAAACCAATCGGATTGAATGAGAGAGTTTTACTTTAAAAAGTCCATGTTGGGGAATGTGTCATCAGATCTGGGATGAACAGGGTGCCTTGAGTCAGGGGAGGTAGGAGGAGCCAGGGAGTCAACATGAAGACACGTCCTTATGGAGAAGTGGGGAGTTGAAGTAATGGAAGGAGTGTTTCAGCGCTACAGAGACAGGGTGGAAACAGACAAAAACAGATTTAGTACAAAAACAACAACCACCACAAAAGGCAACAAAAAATAACATTACAATATGTTACAAGTGCTGTATATGTTGATCTGGATGCTGGATGTTATATGAAATTTTGAAATTATGCTTAATGTTTATCGACGGCGAGAGGACTTCGAGTGTGAGCTGCGGGCCCTAGCACCTTGGTAAGCTTTACTGCCTTTATTAGAAAATGCCTGTGTTGTGTCATCAGTGCCTCTGTTTGTGGATGCCGAAGCTCTGTGTCTGGACTCTCTACATGCCCCACTCATCTTCCCCCTTCCACGAGGATTGTAAACATTAGTCTCCTGCGCTTCAGGGAAATTAGCGTTCATCAGCGCGTCTAATCGTGACGTGATGGGACATACTGCTGCCTGGACTGAGCTGGACCTCTGGGGCAGCTGCTGTTTTCTGCGCACAGAATTATCACCCCATGTTTCAGACCTGTTAGCATTAGCATTAGCATGCACACTCACACCTTTAGAAGAGGTTAGACTTTCACTGGAAGAAGAAAATAAAGAGGATTTCATCTCAGAGGCTGGTACAACACGGGCTGTGATAAACGTGTCCTGGCGCATAGGAACTGAAGCTCTGCGGTTTGAGGAGCCTCTTTTTGTGTTATAAGTTTCTCTTGCCATGACTTCACTTCTGACAGTGCTCACTGAGGCTTTACGCTCTGAAGAAAGACCTGCTGTAGTGACACTGTGGCTCCTAATAAAGGTGGCATCTCTAGGGACAGTGCGCCCCCTGCTGGACCTGTGTCCCAGGGTAGAGAGCTCAGAGGGAGGGTCAGTTCTTACTGGGCTCGTGTGTGGGCTTGTGTGAAGGCTCCGCGTCAGAGCTCGAAGGTGGTGCGTAGCCATGGCTGGGACACCGCTGCCGGGGACAGGACTGGATCTGGGGCTGCTCCTCATAGGGGGCCGTGCAGGGCTGCCTCGCGGGCTGCGGGGGGCGCGGCCTGATTTTGTGGCCAGCTCTTTAGTACGGGAGCGACGTGGGCTGCTGTTCAGACTGTGAGGGGACATGGGGGCAGCCTCCAGGTCCTCTAGCCGCTGCGTCAGGGCCAGTTTCTGTTGAATGGCCATCCGCAGCAGAGAGTTCAGGGTCTTCTTCTCATCCTCTGCTGCAGCCAGCTGCCTCTGCATCTCGTCCAGCTGAGTGACATACTGATCACACCTGTGAAAGCACATACAGTCAGCAGGCCACATGCACAAGCAATTGTTATGGACTCATGTTCAGTAAACACAAAACCAACACTGTAGAGTTAAACCTTGACTACTGTGTTGCATTTTGTAAACATTAGTAAAATAAACCAAAGTTTAGGTTAAAGGTGTAATGTTAACCAAACCCTAACTAGAGTTAAGAGTGTGTCACACAACATGCAATAACTTCAAACATCCACACGAGGGCACCAAAACATTCTACAGTAAAGCAGAAGCTTGATTGGAACTCTAATCCTATATGCTCCTCCTGTTGTAATGGACACTATTTTCATTGCCTAGAGAATCCACTCAAATACAGACTAAATCATTTTTTTCAGAACAAATATGGTACAAATATCTGAAGCAAAAACAAAGCATGCAATAATATTATGCAGTGCCTGGTGACCAATATGTTCAAAAGAGATTAGTGATCAGAGAGTGAACACGTGGTTTGTCTTCTAGACCTTCCTCCTCATGTCTTCACCATGACGCGGCTCTCACAGACTGCCCTGACTGGTCCTGCCCGCAC